ATTAGCCAATTATGACTCGTTAAACTGAAAAACAAGTTCACTTAGTTTATTCTTTTTCTTTTGGTTCACAAACGAAAGGCACCCATTGATTTTAAACCCTCCACTGACATTTTAATGTGGCAATTACAATTCTCCCAGAAAACAGACAGCATAACATTGTGGGGAACGGTTCACTTATTTCTTGATAGTTACAGGATATTTAACAAAAAAATTACATATAATTAAGGCAGACAAAAAGAAAGGGAAACCATCTACATTTGTCCCATCAAGGCCTGACTTCAGCTTGATCTTAAGGAATAAAATGTTATAAAATACTGTGGGAAATGAAGCTAGGTGACCTGACACACACACACACACACACACACAAAAGAAACCCTATGAAGCTTAATTTTGCCCATCACAAAGAGAACTACAAAAATAATGACGACTATTATAAAGATAATAGATGACTATTATAGGGGGGGCGCAATATATTTTTCCTTTATTTTACCCTATTTTGGGGTAAAAATATACACTTACTGAGACCCTGATTACACAAAACTCATTTTCAAAATCACTATTCCACTCCCACATAAAAATATGGATCCTCACAGAAGCGCTAAAATGAAGGCAAGGATTTTTTTTTTATCAGTTAACAGAAAAAGACAGAATAGTTGATCTATAATCCACACAGTTAGTAACAATATCCATCAACTAGCATTTCCTAGTATGATATTAAAGGGGTAGTTCACCCAAAAATGAAAATTTGATGTTTATCTGCTTACCCCCAGGGCATCCAAGATGTAGGTGACTTTGTTTCTTCAGTAGAACACAAACGAAGATTTTTAACTCAAACCGTTGCAGTCTGTCAGTCATATAATGGAAGTGAATGGGAATCACGGCTTTGAGAGTCAAAAAAACATACACAGACAAAACCAAATTAAACCCTGCGGCTCGTGATGATACATTGATGTGAAAAGACCCGAAACGATCGGTCTGTGCAAGAAACTGAACAGTATTTATATCGGTTTTTACCTCAAACAGCGCCGGCTGTTGTGAACGCGCTCAGGACAGTTGGACATTGCGGTGAATCAACTAGCATTTCCTAGTATGATATTAAAGGGGTAGTTCACCCAAAAATGAAAATTTGATGTTTATCTGCTTACCCCCAGGGCATCCAAGATGTAGGTGACTTTGTTTCTTCAGTAGAACACAAACGAAGATTTTTAACTCAAACCGTTGCAGTCTGTCAGTCATATAATGGAAGTGAATGGGAATCACGGCTTTGAGAGTCAAAAAAACATACACAGACAAAACCAAATTAAACCCTGCGGCTCGTGATGATACATTGATGTGAAAAGACCCGAAACGATCGGTCTGTGCAAGAAACTGAACAGTATTTATATCGGTTTTTACCTCAAACAGCGCCGGCTGTTGTGAACGCGCTCAGGACAGTTGGACATTGCGGTGAATCAGAGGTAAAAAACTATATACTGTTCAGTTTCTTGCACAGACCGATTGTTTATTGTCTTTACACTTCAATGTATCATCACGAGCAGCAGGGTTTAATTTGGTTGTGTCTGTGTATGTGACTCTCAAAGCCGTGATTCCCATTCACTTCCATTATATGACTGACAGACTGCAACGGTTTGAGTTAAAAATCTTCGTTTGTGTTCTACTGAAGAAACAAAGTCACCTACATCTTGGATGCCCTGGGGGTAAGCAGATAAACATCAAATTTTCATTTTTGGGTGAACTATGCCTTTAAGCTGTGCAAAGAGTTCGGCTTGTATGACAAACATAACTTGACATTGTGATCCGAAGCACGTGTGACCATAAAAGTAGCCTATACGGTGCATTTACATCTCTTCGTTTCACTTGTCATTTCGTGTCATAAACAATTACTTCCTATTTATTTCAAACATGAAAAATACTTGGTAGCAGACAAGAAAAACAAATGTTTAAAAGCAAACCTTTTTATTTAAATCGCTTGTTGAAATGTGAACAGCAGATGGCAGTGTTGAGTTGTGGTAGATATGGATGAGGCAAGCCATTTACTGGCATATTTTCACACAAATGTGAATCTGTGAGGGTTTTACAGTCCAGCTCATGAACTATTATATAAGCTTTATCATTAAAAAAAAACTTGACAGATTCTGTTACTCCCTAGTGCAGCAAGTTGCGCTTAAGTACCATAAAATAATTAGCCAATTATGACTCGTTAAACTGAAAAACAAGTTCACTTAGTTTATTCTTTTTCTTTTGGTTCACAAACGAAAGGCACCCATTGATTTTAAACCCTCCACTGACATTTTAATGTGGCAATTACAATTCTCCCAGAAAACAGACAGCATAACATTGTGGGGAACGGTTCACTTATTTCTTGATAGTTACAGGATATTTAACAAAAAAATTACATATAATTAAGGCAGACAAAAAGAAAGGGAAACCATCTACATTTGTCCCATCAAGGCCTGACTTCAGCTTGATCTTAAGGAATAAAATGTTATAAAATACTGTGGGAAATGAAACGAGGTGACCTGACACACACACACACACACACACACAAAAGAAACCCTATGAAGCTTAATTTTGCCCATCACAAAGAGAACTACAAAAATAATGACGACTATTATAAAGATAATAGATGACTATTATAGGGGGGGCGCAATATATTTTTCCTTTATTTTACCCTATTTTGGGGTAAAAATATACACTTACTGAGACCCTGATTACACAAAACTCATTTTCAAAATCACTATTCCACTCCCACATAAAAATATGGATCCTCACAGAAGCGCTAAAATGAAGGCAAGGATTTTTTTTTTATCAGTTAACAGAAAAAGACAGAATAGTTGATCTATAATCCACACAGTTAGTAACAATATCCATCAACTAGCATTTCCTAGTATGATATTAAAGGGGTAGTTCACCCAAAAATGAAAATTTGATGTTTATCTGCTTACCCCCAGGGCATCCAAGATGTAGGTGACTTTGTTTCTTCAGTAGAACACAAACGAAGATTTTTAACTCAAACCGTTGCAGTCTGTCAGTCATATAATGGAAGTGAATGGGAATCACGGCTTTGAGAGTCAAAAAAACATACACAGACAAAACCAAATTAAACCCTGCGGCTCGTGATGATACATTGATGTGAAAAGACCCGAAACGATCGGTCTGTGCAAGAAACTGAACAGTATTTATATCGGTTTTTACCTCAAACAGCGCCGGCTGTTGTGAACGCGCTCAGGACAGTTGGACATTGCGGTGAATCAGAGGTAAAAAACTATATACTGTTCAGTTTCTTGCACAGACCGATTGTTTATTGTCTTTACACTTCAATGTATCATCACGAGCAGCAGGGTTTAATTTGGTTGTGTCTGTGTATGTTTTTTGACTCAAAACAGTGATTCCCGTTCACTTCCATTATATGACTGACAGACTGCAACGGTTTGAGTTAAAAATCTTCGTTTGTGTTCTACTGAAGAAACAGTGTCACCTACATCTTGGATGCCCTGGGGGTAAGCAGATAAACATCAAATTTTAATTTTTGGGTGAACTATGCCTTTAAGCTGTGCAAAGAGTTCGGCTTGTATGACAAACATAACTTGACATTGTGATCCGAAGCACGTGTGACCATAAAAGTAGCCTATACGGTGCATTTACATCTCTTCGTTTCACTTGTCATTTCGTGTCATAAACAATTACTTCCTATTTATTTCAAACATGAAAAATACTTGGTAGCAGACAATGTTAAATTACAGTGCTTTATCTAAATAGAATGATATAGAAAACATACATCTATTAGCTCTTTCGCATGACTTCAACATTCAGACAGTTCACAAAATAATTTGGGTAAAAAAAGGAAAGAAGAACACAAATGATCATTTACCCTCTTCTGACACGGACTCGATCGAAGCGCTAAAGAACGTAAAGACGCTAAATTAGCGTACATCTCACGTACGTTTTGAAAGCAGACATATTCTCAGACAGCTTTACGCAAAAGACAACATGTTTTATGTACAAAAGCTCATAACCTGAACACTAATAAATTATGGCAAGAGACAATCTTCGCGCTTTATTTATAAAACATGAGCAGAACGAATCTGTAAATTGTTTGTAAAACATCAACGGCTGTTGACGAACCGTCGACGCAAACCCTTCTGTCATTGTTTATAAATAAGTAGTGCGGTCAAACGAATAATCGCGATTAATAGCAACCAAAATAAAGGGTTTTGTTTACATAATATATGCGTGTGTACTGTGTAGATTTATTATGTATATTTAAATACACACACATGCATGTATATATTTAAGAAAAATATGTTATGTTTAAACATTTAAAATATTTATATATAATATCAATTATATTCATATAAATATATACATGGAATTATTTTCAAAATTTATACTGTGTGTGTATTTATATATACATAATATACACAGTACACACACATATAAATAAAAACTTTTATTTTTGATGCGATTAATCGCGATTATTCGTTTGGATTTTCAAAATATATACTGTGTGTGTATTTATATATACATAATAAATATACACAGTACACACACATAAATAAAAACTTTTATTTTTGATGCGATTAATCGCGATTATTCGTTTGACAGCACTATTATTAAGCCTCATAATTCATAAAAGGCAACAGGTTTAAGCAGGTGAACAAACTGAGGCTTGCCTTTTCTAGCATTTCTGGGGAAAACGAACACGTTTATTAATATCAGAGAAATTTTGACTAAAAGCGGTTGATTGCTTTCACAAAAACGTCAAGTAGTACATAAATTTATTTCAAGATAACATTTTGGTATTGACTGAATAAGAGATTTTGAAGACAAGCTTATTATTTGGTGACACATCAGTCACTTTCGTCTCAAAGATGGTGAGAGGTATCGGAAAGAAGTAAGGCAAAAGACATGAATCGAATAAAGACATCGGGCACATGATGAAGGTCATTTTTAAATTGTAGGCACAGAGCTGAAACAAAGCCAGCTCTCATTTTTTCCCCCTCCTTGTGCTTCGTTGATTACAGTTGGAAAGGGGCCAATGCCGCCAACAAGAATGAGCAGGTATGCAAACCATAATAATCAAGAGTCGCCCACAACCTGTTTGCGTTCAGGATGTGTAACAGGTACAGTAAATGCTCAAACGCTCTCGGCACGAACGCAGTCGCTCTCATTGTGCTGAGAGAGCTTCGCAGACCTCGAGCCCTGACAATTCATGCTTTCTACATAGCAGTTGAGTGCACTTGCACCCTGTGATGTTGAGGGTGCATTTACGCAGGAAGGGAGGATAGCGGATACTACGCCCGTACGCTTGACCCTCAGAGTCTGGAGTATCGCAAAGCAGAAGTGTGTGCATAGCCATCGTGAGAGGGGGGTGGGAAAGGACAGTTGGGGTGGATTCAGTATCTCATTGTGCTGGAGGCTCTGAAATAGGAGAGGAACTTGAAGCACAAGCTGACGACGAAGTACCAGATGTTTCTGGCCATCTGTGAACGGGCGATGAAAATGCGCCAGATGAAGACTACCAAGATGGTGTTGAAAGTGTAGCGAATGTTCCGCAGCCTACAGGAAAAGAAAAATTGACAAAAAAGAAAAAAAGTTTCACATGATCCTTCAGAAATCCTTCTAATATGCTAACTAGCTGCTCAAGAAACATTTCTGATTATTATCAATGTTGAAAACAGTTTTTGTTGCATGATACACTACCATTCAATGGTTTTGCAGTAAGATTAAAAAAAAATTAAAAAAATTAATACCTTCTATTCAGTAAGGATGCATTAAATAGATCAAAAGTGACAGTAAATATATTTATAATGTTACAAAAGATCAATTTCAAATAAATGCTGTTCTTCTGAATTTTCCATTTAAAGAATCCTTTTAACATTTGATTAGTTTTTAACACTGATAATAAGAACTATATTAATAATTGAGTACCAATAATAATTGATAATAAATGAGCAGCAAATTCAGCATATTAGAATGCTTTCTGAAGGATTATGTGACGCTGAAGACTGGAGTAATGATGCTGAAAATACAGCTTTGCATCACAGAAATAAATTACACTTTAAAATATATTCAAATAGAACTGTCCTTTTAAATTGTAATATTATTTTATCATATTAGTGATTCTACTGTACATTTAATCAAACAAATGCAGATTTGGTAAGAAGAAGAAACAAAAAAAAAACCCCTTAATTATTCCACTTTTAAACAGTAATATATTTCACATTTAAAATCACTAAAAACTCTAGATATTAAAATTAATATTAATATTAATATATTAATCATATATTGCATTGTGTCATATTAAATAATATAGTAATATTAAAACTAAATTCTGGCCAATACTGATAAGCCAGTCATTTTTTCTAAGCTATGGCCGATAACAATAAATGGTCGATATTACAATTCCATACTAATTTGTCTAAAATTAAAAATAATACTAAAATGAAACATTTGAAATTAATGTCTTAATTTTTTTCTTTTTTAAAGATTAACTAAGTGAGCGTTAGATTATAAAAAATTAGTTTTGCAACTGATAACAATAAATTAAAAATATCTAATACTGGCCAATTACCTGTATGATACTGATATATGATGCATTCCTAGCCACAAAAAAACCCCCTTGTGTTAACCACCCAAAAGTGAGGAAAAGTCACATGACTTTGCCCATCTAGGAATTTATTCAGAAAATACGTTTCCATCAGACTATAAAACAAGTGAATAAATGTATCCACCTCAAGCAGGCATGTATGTGCATTGTGGAAATTGAATGCGCATCTTGGAATTTCCATTTTGAATTTTTATTCAATATGCAAAATTTCACATATGTAAATGGAAAACCAAATGCTTACATCTATCCGCAGCGACCAAAAGTCATTCATGTCACTGTCCCACATGAATGCCACAAAGTTGAGCAGTTAAATATGACAGCGCAGCAGCTACCATATTACTGTGAATGTCCCTCTAGTTTATTAGTTATCCTGAAGGTAACCTAGACAACTTCAATACTTACTTGTTCAAGTGTTTGCGTGCCGCCGGGAGTCCTGACAACTCTTCATTGAGAACATACTTTTTAGTGCCCATGCAGTAATTCTCCATGTATTCTGCCCAGTGTAACTGCCTGACGTCAATGTTAAATGCCTGAGCAAGAAAAAGAAGTTTAAGACATTCACTGATTTCAAGCATTGATAAAAGTCAGAGCCATGAGCCACTTGAATGGATGTTTCATTGACAACACATTTTAAGTGACATGATTCAGAATCACAGATGCGACTCATTTAACTGTGCCAATGGCAGACTGAGTGTATTAATACATAAACACACACACACCTTCTTGTCCTCAGATCCCATCTGGTTCATGAGCATGGTAATGTTGTCCATGTTCCACACCCATGAGTGGCTCGTGAAGTACTCCAGCACCATCATGGCCTTGTGCAACCGAGTGATTGTCTTCATCATCCTGCGTCGCCACGGAAACAACGCAAGGAGCGAGCGGGAGAAAAGGAGAGACATGTGAGCGTTAGCTTTAGATGAGCTTTGATGGGGGCTGAAAGTGTAGTTTGTGTCTTTTTTTCCTCTCGTTTAATCCTCAAAAGGGCAAGCGGTTTAATAAGAGCAGATGGTGACAGACTACGTCAGTAGTTTGAAGAAACCACAGCTTGTAAATGACTTCATGTTTAGTGATAGTAACAAAACATTTAATTCTATGCAATGTTCTATTATATAAAAAACAGAGGTTATTAGTGAAGCCCATTTCTGCCTCATAGTAAAAAAAAAAAAGTGATATAAAGCTTAAAATATGAAATAGTCACAATGTTTGATATCACCTATCAATTACGAGAAATAAAGTTGCAATTGCAAGATATTAATTTGCACTGTGAGACAAAGTCATAAATACAAGAAATTATTTTGTTTGTTTTTTTCTTTTACTTGAAGGCAAAAAACTGGCTTCCACTGGTTAGTTTTCCCAAATAAAGCAAAATATTTTGGTTTGATTCAGTAAAAAAAGTGAAATAAAACAAAATTAAAATGAAACAAATAAAATTTAAAATAAAGAAAGAAACAAATTGAATAAATTGAAAAAAGATTAAACAAGTAAAATAAAACAAACGAAATAAAAATGAAACAAATAGAATAAAATAAAAACAAACAAAACAAAAATAAATATTAAAAAGTAAAATAAAACGAACCAAGATCAAATAAACACACAAACAAATACTCCTCAAGTTAGTGAAAAATAATTATTCTCCAACCCATTCATTCTGTGGTGTATTTGATTCAGGTTAGATCCCACTGCAGCACTTTTGAACCACAAACCTTTGGCAAACACGACTGTGGATTCCCATGATTTGGCTGAACAATGATCACACTGTTAAAACCTTGCAGGACCTTGTTGGGCACCTGGGCGCATTTGTGTACTTAAGATTCTTGATTCTTTCTGTGTGATGCTGTGTGTACCTCTATAAACTCTATCAGACGTACAAGTATGCCAAATTTCAGGCTTTATCTGACAAAGCACTGTTGAAGTTGAATGCAAATGTCCAGAAACGCCCAGTTTCCCCCATCAAGATCTCTTATGGATTGGATAGGGAATGACTACATGCATTGTATTAGAACACCTCGTTTTAAAAATCAAATTCAAAACATTCTCATGGTGTTAAAACCAATCAATTATACAAACACTTGCACCTTAAACCAGATGCATATCAGCAATACACAACAAATTCATTGAATCTGCATGAGCAGAAAGTAACATTGAACTGAAAGACCTCAGATTTAAGGTGCATAACTAGTCGTTTCATCTCCAGGTACCAAACACATCTACTTCCTGCAATTAAAAGCATTTTTGCATGAATGGATAATTGTCAAATATGCATCCAGTGCAACTTGTAATTTCTATCTTGGTGGGTTAAACCAGAGGCTTTCAACCGTTTTAACACCAAGGACCGTCTTTTTTGAAAGACCACCTTTTTAAGAGATACAGGCAGCTGTATATTAGTGAATATGAGTAAAGAAGCGTTTACATTGGTGTGAGAAAAATAATAGTACACACATTGAGACATTATAAATTAATAATTAAATAGTTTTTTTAAATATATATTTTCACTGTAAAAAAATCATTAATTTCGAGAATATAATCATGTTTCACGAAAGAACTGAGAAAAAAAGTCGAAATAAAATTGAGAATAAACTCATAAAATTTCGAGAATACATGTTGTTTCGAGAAAAAATAAAGGATGTTTAATTTTGAGTACAAATGTGAAAATAAAATGCTGAGAATAAACACGCGTCATGTTCATTTGATCTCGTTGGACAGTGTTAAACTGCATCTGCAGTGGCATAGGTCGTAGAGAGTAATGCTCGTGGACATTTTTCTTGAAATTTAACATCCTTTTCTCAAAAATGAACAAGTTAACGACTTTTTCTTGAAATGTAATGATTTTATTCTCAACATTTTATTTCGACAGTTTTTCTTGAAATTTAACAAGTTTAATCTCACATTATACTGTAATGACTTTTATTTCAAGATGGTTTTATTTTTTTTTATTATTGCTTGGCCCTAATCCTCTTCCATAGAAAGTTATATAAAGAGAATAAGAGAAAATATTTTTTATTTAACAGTATAACATTTTTTATCTTGATTTCAGAATAGTCTTTAGAAAACAGAATCAAAATTCTAATAAATTTCTAAATTATTATAAAATTTATAAACAATTGTATAATTTAGTATATAGTCCCCGACCCAAGTTTGAAAACCACTGAGTTAAAACAATTCTTAGAGCAGAGAGTTTGGTACCTGGCCCCATTATTTATGAGTGCTGTTCTCTGATCAGTTCGGCTTTTTGGATGGAAAATATTAGTGCACTTGATCTGAGCTGAGCACTCTGACCTGCTTAGTGAGTAAAGGCTGTGTTAACCAAACTATCATTCCCAACATCCACTATGCATTCATGTGCTACAAGAGCAGACCAAAAGACCTCTCTTGAAGACTTAATGGCATGGATCAGAAGAAAAAACAACAAAAGATGGTATTATGGTATGGATCCATCTCCTTTTCCACAAAAAAAAAAAAGCGTGCAGGACTCCATGCACTTTATGGAAGCCCGGCAGCAGCGTTTGTCCGATGCCATGAAGTCGAGCAGACGGCCAGGCTAGGTGGTTCCTGAGCGGTTCCTTCCCAGCCGGCCTGCCAGCCATGCCACACCACGCACCCAACACCCAGTGCTGGAGGTGAGGGAGGGGAGGAGGGAGGACAAAGGGGTGGAGAAGCGGGTACTGAAGACCTTACCGGGGCTTCTGACCCGTCAACATGAGAAACCCGTCATACAGCAGGGCAGGAAGGGTGTGACTCACTGTGGTCCAGTACTGATTGGTAAAAGGGTTGGATCGCAGGTTAACATTGGGGCGTCTGAAAGCCTGTTCTAAGGGGTTGGTCTTGAACGTCATGTTTATGCAGTACTCTGTGGAGAGGAATACAGGCATACAACATACAAGAGCATTTTAAACACAGAGCTACACATCACACACGGATAAGCACACACACACACACACACGTGGGCGGGAAGCGTGCAGAACCCAGTCTCCGAGTGGGTTATGCATCCTTGCCCAAGACACGTAGAGAGCGACACGTGACGGCTAGACCGAGCGTGGAGGAGGAAGCGGGTGAGGAGGAAAGGGGCGAAACAGTCGGATTTACCTGGGCTCTCTTCCTGACATCCTGAGGAAGAGATCATATAGGAATGCTGGCGCCTTGTGGCTTACAGCAATCCAGTACTGATTGATAAGGTGATTGGTTGTGAGATTTACATTTGGCCGCCTGAATGCCTGCTCGAGGGGGTTCCTCTTGAAAGTGGATATAACATGGTATTCTAAGAGACAAAAAGGGGTTCAACAGTAAACGGCACAGCTGTGCATGACTTGGTTCAGGGTTAAAAAGCAACATTTTGAAGGTTTCTTCCATTCACAAGTATTGGGGTCATTTAATTGCCATAACCCAAATATTATAGGGCTGGGTAAAAAAATAAATTTTTCGATGAATCGTTTTTTTTTTTTAAATGACGTTGATTCGATATCGATTCTCAAAAGCCGCAAATTGATCTTTTCCTGTATTTATTTCAGAAAGTATTTAAAGTGCCCCTATTATGGGTAATGAAAGGTTCATATTTTGGTTTTGGAAGTCCCCAACAACAGGTGACATGCGTGCAAGGTGCAAAAAAACACTTTCATTGTCTTATAATATGCATTTATTTTTACCTTACTTGCTCAACGACTCATTTCACTTTGCTTGATGCTAATCTGCGGTGATTGGTCCAATTGGTCTCATTTTCATTTCATCATGCCTGTAATGCCTGACAAAGCAGCGTTTGTGAGCACAGTGCTGCTTTGTGTACAGCGTTACCGGTGAAACCGCTATTTTTACCGCTCCAAAAGCCACACCTAGTGGCAAAGAATTAATTTGCATTTTCATTCAACACGAAAAGACCGACAAATGGGCGGGCAATATGCTAATGTTTCATGTTGACGCCAACATGAAAGGCTTGGGATTCGTTTTAAAAACGACTCGTTTCAATGATTCAGTGTCGCCTCTTTTGAGAGAAAACTTTATACACGGTGCGCTTTCAGATTTAAAACTTTGCAGGATGTTTTCACCGAGAGCTGTGTTACACACTGCATGAAAGGTAATTTTCAAAAATCCATAATAGGGGCACTTTAATGATAAGATTCACGTTAGTCAGATCTTGTGTTAGTGTTCTCCACTACATGTCACCCTCTTATTTACCTTGCGCGATGTTATAACGGAAAGCCTGTCAATCATTCAGTGCTTATCATGGCAGAGATACTGTTGACAAGAACCAAGAACAAAGCAATATGCATAATTTGCAATGCTCAGGTGAAATGCTATAGTAATATTACAAATCTGTGGAAGTATTTGACATCACACGTAAAGACGCCATGATTTCCGCAATGAATGAATGAATGAATGGTGGATGGTGCAGCGCACTCTTTTGTTTACTACACGCATACTAAAGCGCGGACGATGCTCGCTGTGTTTTCAGCCTCTGTTGTCTCACTATGATGATATGAATACATGAATATCATCTCCAGTTGCTCTGAGAGTCAATTCATTAGCATTTTACCGTTTAATTTGAGAAAACTACCGTCATATCACATACACAGCAGCTGCAAGTTCCTCACGGCAACCCGTCAAAATAAAAGTTTAGTTTAACGTGAAGAAACGGTGTCAGAAATATATGACTATTTAGCAGTCTTAAGACTCAATGTAACAACAATGCTACTATTACTACTACTACTACTAATAAATCTTTATTTTTAAAGAAATAATCACATTTGTTTTCTTTTTCATTTTAGGAGTAAACCTCTGTTGTGCAGCACTTTGTTTGCCAAAAATAAAAGGGTTTAATTTTAATTTGATTAGGATCAATTAAATTGATATTTTATGGCTTCATCTGATTACCAGAAAAATTAAGAAGAACATTTTATAGGGCCCTATTATTGTTTAAAAAGGTTTAAAAATACAGGCCTGTGGCTCTTAATTTCTTTTTATTAACTCACCATTTTTTATTTACTCATAATGTTCATGTTTTAGAAATATCAATAGCATTTGTATTAAAACTATATTCACTGAATGGAATAAAAAAAAATCGAGAATCAAACCAAGAATCGAATCGAGAGCTTGTGAATAGAAATCGAATCGGGACATCTGAATCGATACCCAGCCCTAAAATATTAAGATCTTTTTCAAAGCATCATATTGTAAAATTCAGGGATCAACATTAAAGATGGTGAGAGTATTTCATACCAGTTAACAGAACTGTAATTTATTTTAAATTAAACAATATACAAAAAAAAAGAAGAAGAAATATACTTAATATAAATAAATAAATAAAATATTTTATACTGAATACTAAACACTATATTATATACTAAATATATAACAAATATACTATTATATAAAATATTAAGTATCATACTGTATATATACACAGTTGTGGTTAAAATTATTAGAACACTTGGCATATTTAAAGGGGTCATATGATGCGATTTCAAGTTTTCCTTTCTCTTTGGAGTGTTACAAGCTCTTGGTGCATAAAGAAGATTAGTGCAAAGACTAAAGTCTCAAATCCAAAGATATTCTTTATAAAAGTTAAGAGTCAACCACGCCTACCTAAAACGGCTCATTCTAACACGCCCCCACATGTCTACGTCACTATGTAGAAATATTAGCATAATGCCGCCCGAATGTTCACGCAAAGAAAG